AAAAAAAAAAGTAAAATAAATCCTCCCATCGTGAGCTTGGTAGGACATGGTAGAGTCGAAACTGAAAGCCAAGATGGAACCTTGGACCGCTGTTTGGACCTGTTGCCGGTAGCGATTTCCGTTAGTTCACTGAACTAGTAGTAATCAAAGATTAGAGCAGTGCGTTCACGTGCGTACTTTGCATGTTTGGTCTACTTTGGTGGCGTTCGAATGGTTCAATAGAAAACTAAGGGCCTCTTCATATGAGCCCAGTAACCGGGCTGGCTTGGTTACCGGGACCAATTTTGTGGTTTGCTCATATGGGAAACTTCAGCCCGGTCGACCGGGATGAAATCCAAGAAAAACAACCAAAATGGTGGAACATAAACTTGCATTGTTCGCGACTGTCGTAGCTTTGTGGACTCTTGTAACTTTACTAATGAAACTAATTCACATACTCCTAAAATGGAAATACATTCAAGAAAAAGATTATGCCATTTTGGCCGCCATGTTGCGAGAGCGAAGCTATTTTGTCATAAAAGTTTCGTCCCGGTTACCCGGGCTGGGGTGTTCATATGGAAAAATTTTTATCCCGGTTTCCGAGATCTCGGTAGCAAAAGTCGGGCTGGCCCGTCTACCGAAATCTCGGTAGCCGGGCCAGCCCGTCTACTCATATGAACACATCAACGATTTTATGAACGAAAGGGTGGTGAGGCGAGATCTCGGAAACCGAGCCAGCCCGGTTGACCGGGCTCATATGAAGGGGCCCTAAGTTTGATCAAATAACAGATACCGATCTGCACGCGAAGTTGAAGCCTGAGGTAATGCACCTGTCACTGCAAACCCCCACCCCGGGGAAACATGGGGCATTAGCCACAGAGCAATACCAAACAAGGATAATGCCCTACATACAGGGGACATATTTTTGGGTCTACTCCCTACCAAAATGTGGATAATCCCCCACCTACAGGGGACAAAAAAACTCCTTGTCCAAACCTGCAGTATTACTTTCAGAAGTATGATTGACATTTATTTTTGAATACTTTCAACACATTTGCACATGGAACAAGTGCCAAATTTTCTAGCTTCATTCGGGACACATCACCATAAAAGGACAAAAAGTAGTCCATTATGTCTTCAACTTTTCAGGCAGGAAATGCACAGCCATTCTCCTTCTTGGCACATTCTTTATATCAATCCCTGCACACGAAAAATGGTACCACTTCACACTGCAATGCAAACTGTCACATCTTATCAAGTTTTCCTCAAGATTTGGCCGTCCTTAGGGACAAAGAATGTCATCTCCTAAATCATGATCTGATTCTATAAAATGGATTGGGAAACAAAGCACTTAAATCCCATTTGTTAAATCCCTAGAAACAAAAAGAATCGATGGGCATTCACAACAAAGAAATTCTGCAAATTCTCTGTACCTTTCGTTCGTCCATCGCTGAAGAAGACAGCACGTTTCCAATATGGCGGCAAACTGTCTTGTTACCAGGCTCTCGTTCCAGACCCATTTCCAACCGGGTTATTAAAGTGTCCTTACTCCTTCTCGCTCGGACAAGACAACGGACTAAAATGTACTAATCCCTACCCCATAGGGCAAAGCAATGGTCAAAATGTACTATTCCCCCACCTCTCTGGGAAGGCAACGCAAAAAAATGAATTAATCCCCCACCCCCTTGGGCAAGGCAAAGAGTCAAAGACCCCCAAAAGCCCCATGATTCCCCGGGGTTGCGGGGGAGGGGGGTTTACAGTGACAGGTGCATAAAATATTTTCAGGAAAGGCATTTGAATTATTGGCGACACTTAGAATTCAATTTCAGATCGCCAACACTTGTAACAAATATTTCTTGAGAAAATAAAGTTTTGACCAGCGACCCTGGAAGACAGCGCGTCGCCAAAGGTTTTGTAAATTTTGTGTTTGTATTTTGATCGAATTTACTTGTTTTCACAAATGAAAAAAGGCGAATTAACCATTTTGACCTCAAAACACACAGAAAGTTTCAGTGTTTTCTGACAACCAATTATGGCCACCACGAATTTTCTGAGCTGCAAATCGGAAATTTATTTTCTGGCCACAGATCTGAGGGTCATCATGGCCATTTGCCGAGCTACACAAAAGATTTGTTTTCTTACCACAACCTATTAAATGGCCATTTACCAACGCCGAACTACAACGCATTCTTTCCTGATGACGCAGGCTGGAGGGACCAAATCAGCGAACAAATTCGTCCCAAAAATTCTCGAGACAGACTGGATTTGGATTGTGTTACACTATGTGAACGCAAAAATTTTGTTCCATTTAACATTGTGAACATTTTACCTCTGGATATGCTCTCACAATCACATTATCATTCTTGATGACCACCTGGAAAAAAAATTGAAAGATTTAAATTAGATAATTTATTCAGCAGTCTAAGTGACGTCACAAAACAGAGCCTATACATTATAAAGCTAGACTCAAATCTCATCACATATGGCTCATGTGATGGATAAATGAAAGTGGCACCTAAGGTTTTTAAATTAAACTCCAGATCAAGTATGTGGCCTTTAAAGGTAAATAACAGGCAGGGAAAGGGAGTGTGGGTTCTTTATGGTAATACACTTTTAAGTGGTGAGGTGCCACAATGTTTCTTTAAAGTAAGTACCAAATGTGAGATAAACATTTAAAAAAAAAAGCAGCGTTTTATCGGATTTAAGATATGAGGCGTAGCCGAGTGTTTTAAACCCAATAAAACACATGTTGCGAGTTTTTTGAACAGCTTCAAAAACGTTTGTGGTAGATCTGCTCATTTAAAGAATAATCCTTGGGTTTACTATTATTTTTCTGGAGAAAATCAGCTGCAAAATTTAGCCGTGTCTTTTATCAAATTTAAAGACACTCATTAAACATTCATTTCTTTTGTATTTCCTTTATGAATTATTAAATGATTTTTTCAATTTCAATTAATTTATATTTACAGACCTCAAATCTGGGTATACTGTCTAGTCCTGGAAAGTCTTCAATATCTCCAGTCTTGATATTAAAGCATGCTCCATGCCAGGGACAGCGAACTCGTCCATTGCAGAGATGACCAGTAGACAGTGGCGCTCCATAGTGAGTGCACTTGTGACCAACAGCAAAGTACTCTCCCTTTTCACGCACCAGCAGTGCTTTACCTTCTCCAATATCAATCGTTTTCATCCTTTGCATAAAAAAATTAAATGCAAAATTTAATTTAATTAATAACAGAGAAAGCACTTTTTGAGTACAGTGTAACCTCCAGTTGCCACCACCTCTCAGGTCAACAACCAGTTTTCCAAATAACCAAAAAGTTTCTAAGTCAGATCACTCTATTTGGAACCTCTTGTAAGCAACTGCGACCACTTTTAGAGCAAAAAGTTTGAAATTGTCTTTTGTTTTTAACCTCCCGTAAACGACCACTTGACAGATAATAGAGAGGAAATTGATAATAATGTGTTGTAACATTATTGCATTCCTGGGTAGTACAAGAGACGGAAACTTCTCAATGGGAAGTACCAGATTTTTTTCTCGAAATTGACTTTTCACATGAATGAAACATTTAAAAAGTTAGGAGAAAATGCACATACACTGTACTCTATCTGTCTTGAAAAAGACCTTAAATTTGTTATACATAATTACAGAAAATTAGAAATGATATCCCTCTGCAGTTACCATATCCTAATGAAGCAAAATTTTGACCCAATATGGTCTAAGCTCTCATAAGTGACCACCTCCTGTAAGTGACCACCTAGGCTTGACATTTTCGGTGGTCGCTTATGGGAGGTTTGACTGTATGGCTTTTTGCGTTTTGTATACAATATGGAGATATCACCTGGCAAGCTAAAAATTGGTTGAAGTACTTTAAATTAACCACCTTAAATTACATGTAAGTCCTGGGTTAAGTGAGATCATGTGGCATGTACTGTTCACAGACTTCCATAATGATAGACTGTTAAAAATAGTCAAAACAACCAGGTACCGAAAGTGGAAATATCTGAGTGTGATGAATTTGAAACCACCATGAACATTCATATGTACTTGAAGTAATGCATGGTTTCCAGAGAATATTCAAACTGACCTAAGGAGGGTTATCAGAAATTCCAGGGAGGGGGGAAGGGTCTCAAAAAGGCAAAATAAAATAACAGAATGAATAAACCAAAGCTGGAATTTCCCAAGGGATTGGGTGTTCTTATAACCAATAGAACCCTCCAAGGAAGGGGTACATGGATATGAAGCAGCTCAATTTAATTTCATATACTTATAAATAATATTATTTTTATTTAATATGTAGTAAATTATATGATATAACTTTCATTGTCACATCATACACTCCAAAGCGACAGATTACTCCAACAGCCTGATTTTAACTTTCCCAAATGAATTCATCAAACCAAAAAACCCTGAGATTCAGTGTGACGATGAAGTATTGGATAGAAACATACTGTGACCAATTTTTTTAAATTTCTGACCAGCATAATATTATTATGATACAGTAGAACCTTGATTAAACAAACATCTAAATAACTAAGTCCTTGGTATAATGAACAATATTCTTTGCCACAGCAATAGTAAAATACATGGAAAAGAACCCTGATATAGCGAAACCTCGTTACAGCAAACACATTTTGTCAGTCCCTTGGCCCTTCATTATATCAAAGTTCCACTGCATGAGAAAATTTACTTTCATCACTATTCCAAGGACTTTAGGAACACTCTGGCACGATTAAAAAACATTAATCAAAATAACATATGAAATAATCCGAGCATATGTAAGTCTCTTAATTTCACTGCAGAAACAAATTAAATTA